CACTTTAATGGTGACACTGTATGTTTATCGTATGTATATGTATACATATATGTGTACTTATATATGTCTGTGTATATACATTTCATGACTTGTCCTATATCATGTGTATGATCTTGAAAGATGAATAAAAATTAAAAAAAAGAAGACCACTTGATTTCGTAGATTTTGTGAAAGTCAACTTTGACTTAATGACCAACACTTTGTTAATTATACGATATAATAGTTACAAATTATCAATTCAATTTCTTTTTATTTTTAGACAAAAACGAAATTGAGGAACCTGTACAACAATTCCATAGATAAAATTGATGTTTGGATAGGAGGGATACTGGAAACTAACGATGGACCTGGTGAATTGTTTAGAACGATCATAAGAGACCAATTCAAAAGAATAAGGGATGGAGACAGGTTCTGGTTCGAGAGAAACAACAGGTATGTCACATTCAGGAAGTATTAAGTTCCTCTCCGATTCTTCATCAATAAATTAAATCACCATTCGCATTGCGGATCAATATTGAATTCACCCAGTAGATTTTTTCCATTAGAGTATCTCAATCATATATCCGGTGTAGGTATATGCATTTGTGAAGTCTATGGCTTTCGATAATGAGTGTCATGAAAGGCAATCAGTCATTAATGAATTCTAAGTATTAGTTATTGCGTCATATACAGATTTTTAGTTACTTTCGAAAGCTTAGAAAACAGTTGAGAATCTAATATGATTTCAGAAAACAAGTTTGAATCAACCTATGTCTCGAACCTAATAACTTTCGAGCTGCAAGGTGTAGTTCAAGTTTTCCATAATAATTTTCATGAAAAGGAGAGATGATTTTCTTGAGAAAGGAATGTTTTGACTTTTTACTTCTCCACCTTCATGCAAAAAAATGTAGCTGTAGAATGATGTCAACGGCGATCCAAATTTGTTTAAATGACTTATAACTGGTGACGAATCATGGGTATATGGTTATGACATCGAAATCAAAGTCGAATTATCCCAATGGAAACTACCAGGAGAGCCAAGACCAATTAAAGCACGTGAAATTCTGTGAAATATCAAGCTTTTATTCACCGACCTCACGGTCATACGGTCAATAAGGAGTATCATTTTGGAGTTATGCCCGCTTGCGAGAAGCAATACGGAGAAAACGTTCGGTATTGTGGAAATACAATTGATTACTTTTGCAACACAACAATTCCTCAGCCATCGTATTCGCCAGATTTGGGCCCTATCGACTTTTTTTGTTCCCAAGCATGAAGGCACCAATGAAAATACGACGTTTCGTGACGATTGAGACGATAAAATACGGATTGCTGATAGAGCTCAGAAGTGCATTTCAGAACTATTTGGAACTACTTTGAAGGTGACAAAATAGAAATTGATGAATGAATAAATATGCTTTGGGAAATGAAAATCCATCAAATGTTTTGAAGTGACCATTTAGAAACTAGTTATGATGATTCATTATCACTTCGTCATTGTTGTTTGTTTGAAGGTGATTGACAATGTTTCATGATGAATTTCACTAGTTCGGACTTCCATTGTCTACTATATAAAATGATTTGAAATAGTTTCACCAATATAGGATTTTCCGCACTCACAGGGTATCCGGTAAATGCAGTTCTTGGAATCGCAGTCCGCGTTTGGTGGCCTGGTTTTCGTGAGACTGCTACGGATAGTGTTACCGGATCTGAAGCAGGTTCTGATGTTGTACTTGGAACCAATTCTTTTTATCCTCTCCGATAATCCTCTGATGTAGGGAAGTGCAAGCACTGGTTGTGACGGGTTCTCTTTGTATTTGTTTTGTATTTCACTATTTTATTTCACTATTATTTCATTTCAGGTTTATTTTGGTTAACATACTTGTTATTTTCAGCTGCTCACTTTCAATTCTTCTTTTTTAGTTGTTTCAGGGGTTTCGAATCATTTTATATAGTAGACAATGGAAGTCCGAACTAGTGAAATTTGTCATTGTTGTTAGTTAACCATTTCAACATTTGTTTCAGCCTCTTCAGTGAACCTGAAATTGCTAGAATAAAAAGTCTGAGTATTTACGATATCCTAATGGCAGTTACGAAAATGGATCCCAATGACATTCCAATATTTCCCTTTCTGGCCCCAAAGCTTCCGGCGGATGAACCGCTCATACAAAATTGCAAACTAGTAGGAAATTCGACTGGTTTCCATTTGCCGCAATTGAACGATGAATTTTTGGCCGAAAATTGTTCCCAGCCGGGTTCCTACGATTACTTCAACAACAGCGAGGTGTCCTTTATTTTGACGTTTACGTTTTTTGGAACCTGCATACTAGGTAAATATATCCGCTAGGAAATAGATATAGAAGAGCTATGTTCATCTTCTAATGGCACCAACTTGATTGGTGAAGAGTTAATATGAATTGATAAGTTAATTGAAAACCCAACTTATAATTTGTCACTGTAAAATTCATCAGATCTGCAGTATGCTTTGATTATTATCAGTAACTCTTTCACTGATTTTGAAAATATGAAAATTGAACCAATTCAATACTTCACTTTATGAAGTAAAATTCATATGTATGTCCTATAATGCAATGATCGTACCATTGCAGAGATTAAACTCGACAAGAGTAAGATAACAATTACTTTTTCCCGTAGAAAATTCAAGTTGATTCGGTACTTCTCGTGCAGATAATGAATTTTAATTCAGTACTTTGATGTGTTCACTGAAGTTCAATTCATCATCGATATTGAAACCAATAAATTTGGAAGTATGCATTTAGAATTACCAACATCTTCCTAGATCCGTGAAAGATACTGTCTTGTGAGACAGGGGTTTTTTCTTCCTGTTGAAAGATTGCTTGCATTCAGCCTTTTCCCAAAAAGGGAAAGAAAACCGTTTCAAATAACTTTAAACGTTCAAGCCAGTCTTGAATATATCTACACAGTAGGATAAGTGAAATGACGCCTATCAGAAAACAACTACTCCCCTGGCAAATACCACGAAGGGCGTTGGATTATATCAGACAGGCGTCAGTGCAGGAATCTTCACAGAAAATGTCCTGCATATGCAATTGGCAATACAACTGAAAGAGTCGACCCTCAATTATGGAACGGGCACACTTGCAGACCGGTTTCGGGCTTATTAGCCACTCATCAGTGCAAGATAGTGACCATCATCGACCTAAAGTCAATGATATTCCACAATTGAAAATCGGAATTCTTTGAGAGTATTTCACTCCTCTTCCTAAGTTGGAGCGGACAACAAAACGTCACTCCATCTAGTGCACGAGGTACTAACCAACTGCATATCCGAAATGTGTCCGAAACTTTCTTATTAGTCAGTGGGATTTGCTTGAAGACTGACAGTAAACAAATCTAAAGAATTGAACTTTAAACGTTCAAGCCAGTCTCGAATATACCTACACAGTAGATTGAATGGACCGACGCCTATCAGAAAACAACTACTCCCCTAGAGAAATCGGGCACATTTTGGATATGCAGTTGTTTAGTACCTCGTCCACTAGATGGAGTGACAGTTCAACTTGACAGTTCAACAGTTCAACTTGTCAATACTCTGATAGAATTCCGATTTTCAATTATGAAATATCATTGATGTAATAACTGCCATTGCGATGGTTACCGTGAAATATCATTTCATTCATAGAGATTCGAGGTCGATCACCCGTTTCTTCGGTGTCGATATTTTTCCAGTTGAAAAAGCCACTGAATTACGTTATGATTATCGGACCTTCGAGCGTCGTTGTGGTCAGGTTCAAAGTTGAACTAGACTAAACAAATGAATACATTGCTTTCTGCCGATGATCATACGCTAGGAAGGTTAAAAAAACGCTGAGATGAGGTTTTTGTGGCTAGCGTTGTTGACGCGAGGGCTTGGGAGAGTTTTTCCGGAGAGACACAAAAAGTCGGTCACCGGAACTCGTCGAGACGAGATCGGGGGTCTTATCCATCAGCCTTCGAGGCTGAGGAATGTGGTCTGAATAGGGGGGAGTTATTTTTGTCTAAGCGCGTGGTACGAAATTTAAGAAAACTTGGTAGTGAAACCGTAAACCGGAACATGGAGTTAAGAGAACAAAAACAAATAGAAGACTTTTTGTTAATCTATCGAGAAGAGTATAGTGAGTCAAAACCATTTTAATTGAGATTAAAAGTCAGTTCTGGAACCACATAATGTGAGAGAATATAAGTAGGTATACCAAATGATCAGATTTCAAAAAGACCGGCCTTCATGCGATCGGCACGAACCCTGATTTTAGATCGATGATGGCCATTTTCTTGCACTGATGAGTAGCTAATGAGCCCGAAACCGGTCTGCAAGTGTGCCAAAATTGAAGAAAAATTTCTGTGAAAATTCCTGCACTGATGTCTGTCGAATATAATCCAACGTCCTTCGTGGTATTAGCCAGGGGAGTAGTTGTTTTCTGATAGGTGTCAGTCCATTCAACCTACTGTGTAGGTATATTCGAGACCGGCTTGAACTTTTAAAGTTCATTTCTTTAGATTTGTTTACTGCCAATCTTCAAGCATAGTCTACTGACTAATAAGAAAACTTTCGTTGCTTTATAAAGCTCGGATTAAGCCTTCTTTGGAGTATTGTTTCCATATAAGGAGTTTCATCTCCAAACATACTCTGACACTGCTGGATTTCATCCAGAAAAGGGCCATCCGCCATCAGCCAAATCTTTCATTTAGAGCACGACATTTATGTGGAATAAACTGAGAACGTTGTCCCAAATGGATTTAGTCTCCAGTGATTCAAATCCAATGTTAATTACTACTTTCGCACAGGCACCGCTATTCGAGCGCCTTGAAGATTTTTCTGTTATTCTTGTATTTTGTGCTTAAAAAAACATGGACTAAGAAAAACGTTTATTATGATAGACCTGAAGATATAATCGTACACAAAATAAGTATATTTTCTAAATGAGTACTTTTTTGATTTGACAAATGAAGTTGAACCAATATACTATATGTGTTTATTCAGAGTTTACTTATCGCATATTCGATTTTTTAACTCTTGAACTGTTCACTGTAGTAATAACTAACACCTGGATTTTGTTGATCTATTGAATATTCAAGGATACAGTCACATAATTTATTTTGACAGGTACAGCGGGTTTCGTTATCCTATTGATTAAACTGAAAGAACGGGAGATGGCACAGATCAATACAAAATTTAATCAATCAAAAAGGAAAACCCTTCAAACTGAAAGTCGTGTTCACTGGCCATCGTTCATTGGTGAGTATAAAGCACTACAAAGAGGACGAGCATATATTTATTTCAATTCTAGTTACCGAATGGGTTGGACCTAAACTTCCAGTGAGAAAAGTGATAGTGACGTTCAAGTCAGATTTGAAACAAGTGACTGTGTCTTGTTTCAATGGCACGCTTCTAAGAGCTCTGGATTTCAACAGCAGCGCAGGAACTGTGCGAGTCAAAACATATGAGATAACTGATCGACTAATGCTCATTTTGAACACGTCACACAACTATGATTTGGTAACGTACTCTTAATACTTTTTGTCTCGATTTATATATAAATGGGTGACTGGAAAAACGATAACATTTTTTTGAACCTAGTTTTTGGAAAATAAAAAAACTGTTTTGCGGCGCAGCAAGCGGTGTGGGTAGCCAAGCGGTTCGGTGTGGGTGCTTTGTTCACTCACTCGAATTGACTGTATATATGGTGAGTAATAAAAGTCCAAGTACCGTACCCTGTGGGACACCATAAGTGACAGTCCTTGAATCCCTTTATATTCCGTCAATTTCAACTACTTGTTATCGATCAGCAATTGGTGTGTAGTTCATCTTAGGCCGTAGAAGTAGAGAGTTTTTGTAGTAATCTCTCGTAGCATACAGTATCAAATTCTTTCTATAGATCTGCAGAAATGCCTGTAAGAGGGATCTTTTTATCTAATACTTTGTAGATTTTTGAAGTCAGCATTAGCACCTTCTGTATTTCATCAATATTTGTATCGATTTCTTTGTATTTCACTAGTTCGGACTTCCATTGTCTATTATATAAAATGATTTGAAATCCATGAAACAACTAACACAATAGAGAAGGAAATCCACCACGAATTACCATTCTTAGACGTTTTGGTGAAGAGGACCGACACTAAGTGGGAAACATCTGTATACCGAAAACCCACTCATACGGGACAATATCTGAACCACGAATCCAACCACCATCAATCGACTAAAAAAGAAATCATCAAGACTTTATTAGACCGTGCTTTCTGGCTCTGTAATACAGAGGAAGGCCTCATAAAATGATCTTCAACGGAATGGCTACTCCAAAGCGATGGTGAAAAGACGATTGGCTGAAAGACAACAGGAGCCTCGCAAGGAAGAGATGCCGTCACAACCAGTGCTTGCATTTTCCTACATCAGAGGATTATCGGAGAGGATAAGAAGAATTGGTTCCAAGTACAACATCAGAACCTGCTTCAGATCCGGTAACACTATCCGTAGCAGCCTCACGAAAACCAGGCCACCAAACGCGGACTGCGATTCCAAGAATTNGTATTGATTTTGCTATTGTTTTGCTCACGAAGAGTATTCAACAAGAACCCCAAGAATTCGGAACAATCCTCTTGTTGTCCTAACGAGTATCTAGTGGACTTCAAAGACTCCAGGAAATCGGTTGGAGGGAAAGATGATACCTTCTTACGAAACTGCAGCTGCATGAACAGTTGTTTGAGTTTGATGAATAAGTAGGAAACATTTCCGTTCTCGTTCATCATTAAAACTTCGTTCTTGAAATTCTTCGTCATGAACAACACTTGTAAAATGCTATTCATGTAGCAAGTGTTTCCTAAAGGAAGAACATGTTTCACAAAATCTGCATAAGAACCATTTCTCAAGCAAATGATGAAGAGTTTCGTAGAGGGATCGATTCGGATCTTACTTTATGAAAGAAAAATGTCTTCAACATAATTTTATTATTGCATAAAATTTTATTGAATTATCATTTTTCGAAATATATTTGAAAAATGTGGATGAACGTTGATTAGCAGATTTGAAGCGAATTTAAATTGAAAGTGAAAGATCCGATATGTAGACGTTATATTTGACATTTTTGATACAAATGGATTCCAAGTAGAGGAATTTGTTTCGACTCCTAACAACAGAACCCCAAATATTGAGTCCACATATGACATTTAAAACAATGGGGAATTTCAATGTGTTAGTGAATATAAGTAACCAAGATCAGTGATTCGATGTTTAAAGGAAGTACGTTCAGATTTATTTCTGATATCTCACACCATTGTCCACAACACAAAATGGCTGGTCTTAACATCCTTGTTTCTAGGCTTGTACGTTCCTCTCGAGTCCCTCCTATGGAATTCTTGGAATTGATGAATGCATTGTCATCATTATATGTCATCATTATTTGAAAAACGGTAGATCAAAGTAAAAAATCGGCCTCTTTCAGAAATTTTCAATGATTATGCTTATTGAATATACGCTGAGTTCAGTAATTATGAGAAATTTTGCGGTCAGTCCTACTTGTAGCAGAATGAAAAATTGTAATGAAATTTCATAATGAATTGCATATAGTTGCTAATTGTTGATTTTTATCGTGTTCAGGTCTTTTTTGGAAACCGTTGGAGGTAAAGTCGATGATAGAGACATACAAATCACTGTCAACCACATGTTGAAACAGGCAGGTGTGGAACACAAAAAGAACAATCTGACGTTCGAAGACTTCAAAAGAATGATCGGCGAAGATATCAAGAATTTGAATGCCGCCAAGCTGGGCTTCAAAGGATATGAGCAATCGAAGAAGAAGACCTATCTCGACGAGGCAAAAGATGTCATAGAAAATATTTATGAGTATGTATTACAGTACCGAGACGGTAGAAAAACTGGTCCACTTGGGGGTACTTTTATTCATGATTTATATCAATAATATAGTATTTCAATGAGTTACTTACTTTGAAGATTATAAGAATCTCCAGAAAAATTTTAATAATTTGTCACCATTCGTAAATCATCCACTTTCACACGAAATATCAGTGCTATGGAAATCCATATTCCATGTATTCAAAAACACTTCATTGTGAGATGTTCACTGAAAGTGTTACAAAAACGTAACACGTGTTTTCTATAACAGAGACTCCGGACCATAAAATTTAAACAATTCTAGCATATTCACAATGTAGAAATGAAAGTCAAATCTGTTTTTTCGTTAATCAGCTGTCGCCCCCATACGAACGACAATTCTCAGAAGTTGAGAAACTTTTGCGAGATAAGGAGTAACGAGGTCTTAGCTTTTAACGAGTTATTCCTAATAGCAAATGCTATTAAATAAACCTTCGATAGTTTTGTGCATAAGTAAGAATTTTTCTGTTCATTTATAAATTGCCAGTTGCAGTTTATAAAGTACTCTCGATATATTGTGCCATAGTTGAGCTTACAATTTTCTTGTTTATTTGGAGCAAATATGTTTTTTTCAACAAATAAGACAATTTTTTTCTCTTTTTGGATATAATTAATTACGTATATTATTCCACTTTCAATGAAAATATTCATTTGAATGTTTTTTATACCTCTCAATTACCGATGTGACTACTTGTACTAGATACTGTGACAGCCATCCCGGTGCGGGGTTAAAAGTCACACTATTTATTTTCCATAAGAATTGTTATGTTTCCTCTATGGATGATATTGGAGAGAAAAATATTTTTTTAAATGAGTATAAACACTATTGATAAAAAATATCATTGATAATTTATAAAAAAGGACACGAAAAAGCATAAGAGTGGCTGATTTCTTTCAGTACATTTGTCACTTCCCATACCACAAAAAACTGGCCAATTGAGTATATCACAGTGCTTGGATTTCTTCACAAGAGAGGAAACTTTGGAAGGACATGAAAAACCGACGTGTTTAAATTGAAAGAAAGAAGAAAATGCACAAAGTCTCTATCGATCCATAAGTTTCCCCGTATTTTAGTCATTCAATTTGAAATATTTTCTCTGACAGAAAGATTTTGAGGCAAGTTAAATGTTGCCATCGAATTTCCTTTAGATGGATTATACAGTGTCACCATTAAAGTACGCACCATATGGGAAACTTTTTTTCTAAAAGCACTTGTTTGTGCTTTGTTAACTTAAAATGATGCGGCCAACTGCGACCCACTGACGTTCAGTGTTTGTCAACTTTGCACCAGTCATGTTAACATTTTTATAGGAAATTTTTAATTTCTCTCTAAAAATGTCCGTATAGGTAAACATTTATCAGAAAAGTTAAACTCCATGATGAGTTTGTTATGTATACATGAATTGATGATAATTAACCAAACTTGAAATGCACTTTTTCAGTTTTTTTCAAAAAAAAAGTTGAATTTGACAAACACTGAACGTCAGTGGGTCGCAGTTGGCCGCATCATTTTAAGTTAAATTCAAAGCACAAACAAGTGCCGAAGTTAAACTTTATTGAAACTTTTCGAAAAAAAAGTTTCCCATATGGTGCGCACTTTAATGGTGA